GTTTTTTCTTAAGAAATTTTTCATAACTATCTGGACATTATAAAGATTTCGTATGTGATATTTTAAAGTTTTCTGATGCATAAAAGTATTTTAAATCTTAAAATGAAAATTAGTTTGTATGTTGGATAGGCAACATGTGAAAAGAAAAAAGGCTTGAGAAAAACATTGCTTTACAAACCTTAAGACTTAATAAAAAAAAATATATCTTGCATATGAAAGCATTGTAATGTTTACTGATAATCTGACAAATTTTGTTAATATTCACTTACTAATTTTAAAGTTATGGCATGAAAACTATAACAAGCACAAAATGATTACAAGATCAGTCCCAGGGACCGAGCATGTGCTGAAAGAGTTAATATATTTTTTGCTCATGCAGCAGGAGCTTGATTCTTCTAAAAGTATATTCAGATTTTCAGACAATAAATGACATTTGGATTATTGGTAAGTTTTCTGGTGCAAGCATTTTTAAATCTAATTATGCTGAAATGAAAAAGTTATGTTTTAGCTTGTTTACAATCTTGAATATGTATCATATCTCAACATCAGTTGGCCAAAACAATACTAAAAATATAAAATTGTGATGAAAAAACTATTGAAACTTTCTTCTGTGAGTACACTGATGATTTTGTACTTTTGCGTCTTTTGTTTTAATCAAATTTTTGATGCAATTTTTAGTCATGATTTTCTACGAATCAGTGAATAAATGTAGCTGGGGTTGATTCACTCTGTAATACAATTGTATAGACATTTTTTTTTCTTTCATTGACCTCTAATATAGGAAGAAATTAAGCTTGTACTTGATGTTTACTTTTATGAGTTAAATATGTATTTTTATAAAAGTTCAAATAATTTTAATAAACAAGTCCTAATTTCAGGACTTCTTTAGTCAGTACCTTCTGTTTGCTACTCTAATGAACTTCAGACTGACATGGTGGGGTGTAAATATTTTATCTTGGGAAGGTCTGATTTTCAAGCTGCTAAACATGGTGTGAAGTTACAACTATGAAGATATAATATGAATCGTGGCAGTCAATCTTCTATTTAGACAGCAGTACTGCTGATAGCCTTACATCTGAATAGCATTTCCAAATTAGAGTTTTGCTTGAACCTAAGGGACCTCTGAATTTGCCATTTAGCCCATGTGTCATATAAGGTACTATACAGGTTGAAAATGTCAAGTACCATTTTAAATATTTTATAAACATTTTTTAAATCTATAAGAACTCAAGTGGTATCTTTCATAAATTAAATTTGCTATGTGTGATGCATTTTTTTGAAAGGTTTCTAGTTTTTATGAACCCTCATTTTGCACTTTTCCTTCCGTAGTGAGATTTTAGTGTAGAAGCTACTCAAATGTATTTAATAACTTAAAGTTGCAGAAAAAGTCAGTCAAGTCTAGCTGTGGTGTCTCAGAAAATATGCATCAATGAAAAAAATAAGGCTTTTTTCATCACTAGCATCTTGTGCCAGGCAATAGTATTTATAATTATTTTCCTTCTTCAATATAAGCTTCAAAAGTAAAACTTGTGAAGTTATCATTATTTTAAATATTCTTAATATGATGATTACTGTTGATGGTATCTATGTATATCAAAGTTTTGTTCAATGAAAGTTTAAAGCATGCTGATGAGTGGTACTTGTGTTATATTAATTGAGTTTAAATACCTGTAACAAACCAGAATTTGTGATACATCATTTCAGTGTTGGTCTTATGTAGTTGTACAGAAGTAATTTATTTTAATCAATGAATGTATATATATATTTTTTTTTGGTGGGGGGGGGGAGTCAAAATACAACATCATGAAACTTTTGGGGCATTTACCCCACATTCTAACTTCATGAACTGAAATGAACACAAATGTTGATGAAGTATATTGAAAAGAAATGTGAACATTTTATTCAGACACTATCAAAATCGTATTACTAGATGATAAAGAACAATTCCCATCCTTGAACAAGTATACATATTTTACTTTGGAAAATAAATTTGATCTTGTATCAGTGGTGATTATGTTTCCTGTGCATAATTGTATGTTCTAACACAACCAGTGGTCAGAGCTGAGGATTGTAAAGAAATATACTCTAAACCTGACCACAAGTGATTCTTCCTTAACTTTAATGCAATTTTATTAACTGAGTTTTCACTTTCTTAAGGGTTTAGTCTAATCTTGATATGTTGATTTATTGTCTTTCTTCAGGTATGTGGAGTTTAACCTCGTATATGATAGAGGAACAAAGTTTGGTCTCTACACACCAGGATCCAGACATGAAAGCATCCTAATGTCTTTGCCACTATATGCTGTAAGTATATTTTTGTATTGTACTTCTGTTTATGGACTGCTAATTTTTTACAGTTATAATTGTTAATCTGTTTATTTTATACTTTCTTTAAAAAAAGTTTGTTTCTTTGTACATATTCAAAAACATTTCAAAATGTGTGAAAGAAACCAAATCATACAGATCAAGATTTTATTTAACTTAAACAAAAAAAAAACGATGTTTAAATGAAATGTGGATGTGACTTGTTTATTTCAATAATACATCACCAAACAAAAATTACTTTAAATCACAAAATTATTCTTTTCTAGATCCTCATTCTAAATTGCATAATGTACTATAGTTCAGTTTAAAATTGAAAATTAAGATTTGTTTGAAGAATTTCTTAAAACCTCATTAAACTATCATTTTTCAACTTAACACTAAAAACAAGGTTTTATACTTGTGGTAGGCCTAACACAGATAGCCCATTATGTAGCTGTGTGTACTTAATGACAAACAAACATTTTCCAATCACAGTCAATGATACTCTCGTATCCTTAATGTTTTCAATAACATATTGTATTAGAAGACCATGTAATTAATTGTACTTAGGGACTCTTCAAAGATATAGCTTGTACTCTTGAAGAATAATATATTATATACATCAATAACTCAATAGTTTTTCAGGCTCATATGTACCACTAATAGCAACTATGAATATATTGAATTAACTCTCTGTCAATTGCATCAGTCCATTAGACTGACCCTGTAAGTGTACCAAGTATATTGTCAAGAAATTTGACAAGCTGTTAGTAAACATCATGAGTATGTTGTACTAAAAATTATAAAGTATTTTTACTAAAGATTTGTCTGTAAATTTATGAAGCCTTTACTGAGTAAGTCTCAGTGGAAGGTGATTTTCATCATAAAAATAAAAAAATACTGCTTTTCGTCTTACAGTTTTCATATTTCTTATGAATAACCTCTAGAACCTCCTACATGAATATCAGTAGTTTTTTCAGTAAAATTTTATGTTTTATCTCTTGTTTTTGCTACCCTGATAATAACTGTAGCAAAATCACATCCATGTACAGAGGGGAAGTAAAAAAGAAAATAACCAAATTAAATCAATGATACTTTTTTTTATGAATGAATGCAGATTGTAGCAGAAGAATGACATATATTTATCAAAACAGCTTCAGCATTCTAACCTTTTCACATATGTATGTACTTTTAATTTTCTTTCTTTACAAAGCTGTTTATATTCTATCTAACTATGTCACAGGTAGTTAACTGTAGTGAAAATATTAGTGTAAACAACTGCTAAAATACACACACACACACCTTATAATGCTAAAACTGGATTTCGATTCCCATGTTAGCCACAGCACAGGTAGTTCATTGTGTATCTGTGTGCTTAACAAACAAACAATACTTCTCATTTACATTTTATCTAACCTAATAAGTTTGTAATTTTTATATTTTAGTTACTTTTTAAAAAAGTATTTAAAAATAAATACATACATATATATATATATTTTTTTTTCTTAACATAATAAACATTAAAGGTGCAATAAAAATACATAAAGGTACCAATACTGAAAAGAAAGACATACTGTTTTCAAGAATTCTAACAATAGTAGTTACATAGTTCATTCTAATGCTGAAGAATATACAACATTGGTAGTTTTTTTCCAAAATTAGATGAGGGAGAGGAGTCAACCCCCCCATGACCTTCCTCATGCCATCCTGTATCACTGTGTCAAGTTGAGTGTTGATTAATTAAGAAATGTGGAAACGTATAAGAAACAGATATACACACATAAGGACGTTTAATTATATAGATTAAATGATTAAATTATTTTCATTGCTTTTCAGAAACAGTTTTAAAAATCTCTTGTTATATACATGCATGAGTTCAAAAATGAACCTAAGTCAACATACATAGCATTATGTGAAATTATATTTAGCTTAAGAAATGAATCAAATTCCATTTAGTTCTTAAGCACTTTATGACACATGAAGCTTTTCATTTTAATATTTGAAGTTAATGTTTTGTTATAATTTACCAATCATGTTGGCAATGAGAATAGTTTCCAGCACTTTATTATAAAATCTAAATAGTAATTAAATAACTTTTGAATAACAAGTCAAAAATGAGAGTACTTCAATACAAAGTGATTTGTTGAATTAAGAAATTAAACCTGTGAAGAGGCTTATGAAAATTTCTGATAATTTACTACTGTGGTAAAGTTTATAATTTTACTGCCTATTTTTTGCTTATAAACAGTAGATTACCAAACGTTACCCAGCATTTTTAAAGAGCAAAAAAGACATTAACCTATTACAGTACATTAGTTTTTAACACTTCGCAGTTTGTAGAAGTTTAACTACGTGCTTATGGTACCAGTTGTTTCCTTTTGTTTAAATGATTTAGCTATATAAAACTGCTTGAATTTGATCAAAATACTATTTATTTTGTCACAGTTAAAATTTTATCAACAGTGGTTTAAGTTAAAGCCCATTACCTATGTTGAAACTTAGTAAAATGTTGTTTGATGATCTTGTGATGCTTTGCTTTTTTGTTTTTTAAACTTTGTTGGAGTTTGAAGACCTTGGTTTTTTTATAGTTGTGCATCCTTTTCATTTCCCATAGTTTATTCAGTTAGTAAAATGAAAATTATTATTATTTGTTTAGAAATGGGAATATTGTCACAAGCCTGCTCCAGAATCCAAGGAAGCTAAACTCTTGGATGTTCTAAAAAATCCACGAGACTGGGTGGAACTGAAGTTCTAGTCTTTCACATGTTTGAAACTGAGTTATGACAGTGTCTTGTGGAATGACATTCAACAGTATTTCTACACAAGAGAACTATGGGTTTTATAGAGACATCTTGTAGTTTATAAGTATTATTATTATTATTATTACTGTTTTTGTCTGTGTAGGTTATGCACTTCTATTTGGATATTTTGGATACAGTACTTAACCTCATCTCACATAAATAGCTATTCTCGTTCAGTGCTGCCCTCTATATGCAGAAAACTTTTATGCATGCCACAAGCCTTCTCTCTCCCCTCCATTGAAATTGACTGATTCCAATGCATCTTTCATGCAAGTCATCATGTGTCAACCCTCCACCAATAAGAGTGATAATTTACTACTGTGGTAAAGTTTTTAATTTTACCTGAATGGGTTAGTGAAATAAAAACAAAATATAGAAATGATTATAAAGCCTTTCAGTTGAGAGTAGGGTGGTGGTGTTTTGCTGGTGTAGCTGATGTAATATTCTCCAATATGAAACATAAAAACAAATGGAAATAAGATGTCAAAATTGCAGGTCACCTCTTTGATTTGGATCCTTCATCCTTCTCCCATGTGGATGTTGGTTCCCAGTGACTGGTTTTTGGATTTTGAGCAGAACCAATCAATATAAGTCTCACACATGTATTCCAGATGTTCTATATTCCTCCCTCATTTATACTTCATCAGTGTTGTGGGTCACTGCGGAAGTAATTACAGACTGTTACACTTCTTTCCCTTCCACTATCCCTTGAGGTTTCTTATTCTGAGGATGTAGATGCACTTGGAGTGGTTTCAGTCAATTTCACTTTTGAGGGAGATAGTTTACATTATGTAGACATCTTTTTTATACTGTATTCTGGGTTCCTGGATCGATCTGTCAATTTATCATATTCACATGATCCCCGTTTATGAGTTGGGGGGTACTAGATTCCCTCCAATCTCATGAACTTGAGGTAAAGATGGTATGATCCTCTTTCCTACTCTTGCCAGATGGCTGGGTTTTGGATTGTAGTTGACCTACTGACAGTATGATTCTCATCCTACCCCCATGCATGGTTGCCTTTTCCCATCAGCATGGGTTTTGGATGTAATTGACTTGTCGTATACGGTCCCTCCCCCCTAGCCATTCTACACCTAGGGGAATATCCTTTTTATTTTACCCACTTTTATAATTTCTGGGATTGAGTTTCATAAATATTGCATGGTTCGATCACTTTCTGGCCATAGTTCTCTCCCAGTTGGATGTGCTTCTCTGTATGTGACATTTTTTTACAATGGGCGAAGAGTATACCTGGTTTAGAAGTGGAGCAGTTCCCCACATCAGATCTTAAGAGTCTGACTGTCTCATCTTAGGGAGTGTCCTTTGGATGCTTCTTTCTTTCTCTTGCACCGGTTCTTCCACCTATTCTACAGAGACATCTCAAAAGTAAATAGACACCATGATTTTTTTCAATAGTCATATATCTCACATTATCAACTTGACAAAAATGTTTACAAATGTGCATCAGTACTTAGTCGATTTGCCACTAGCATTTATCAGTGCTTTGACTCATTCTGGCATGGAATAGATGAGTTCTGCAATTTTCTCCTGTAGGATCTTGACCCAGGCTGCATGCAAAACATCAAGTAGCTCTCCACGGGACGCGGGTTTTCTGGAATTTCTTCTCACTGCTCGAGCAAGTATGGCTCAGACATGCTCGATAAGGTACATATCAGGTGACTGACTTGGCCATGGGAACCATTGGATGCCTTTCTTAATTAAATGACTACTCAATAAACATCATGGTATCTATTTACTTTTGAGATGTCTCTGTATGTGGGATTATAAATACTTATGTGAGTGGAGGTAATGTACCATATCAGAAGTTATAATTTTCCTACACTGAAAATATATTTCAGATAGGTACTTACCTCTTCTCAAACTTCTCACCCTACCTCCCCACTGAAAACCAGTGCTTCCATCTTCTGCTAAAACTCGAAGTAATAGATTGGTAGAATTGAATAGAGGGAGTCACATGCATCATGAGGGTATATCTCACTCTTATTGGTGGAGGGTTGATGCATAAAGATTTGCATGAGAGACGTGTTGGAATCAGTAAATTCCAATGGAGGGGAAATAGAAGGATTGTGGCATGCATAAAATTTGTTTTTGCATATAGAGGACAACACTGAACAAAAATAGCTATTTATATGACAGGAGGTAAGTACCTATTTGAAATACATTTTCAATGTAGGAAAATTGTAACTTTAATAATAAGGGTTTCCATTTGTGGCTGATAGTTGTTAGTTTATTAAAATTTCAACTTAAAAATGCAAGTTACTGTTATTATTTTGTTAAGTTGTTTCTCAAATATTTCACAAGTATGAGTATTGAGAAGAAAAGTTTTATTTTGCTATGTAGCAGTAGAATGTTGGTTTGAATATTCTATTACAATTAATTATAACAAAACCACCATTGGAGAAAAACATCGATGGAGAAATTGTGAATCAATTAAATTAAGTCATTACAAATGATGCTTTAATGTCTCTGAATATGAAATATCGCATTAGTTGTTATGGTTTAAATTCCAAAGGGTGGTGAAGTATTAGAAACCACTAGGCCTAAAATTTGTGATAAAGATCACATTAATTGCAGATGTTTTTTTTTTGACATTACTCTTAATTTGTCCATTGTATATTCAGAATTAAAGGTTTGTAAAAAATAGTATTTCAGGAATTTGCTGATAAAATAGCTTCCATCTGCATGTTACATTTTTTCCCCTACAGCTCTATAAATGATAAAAAAACTTCATCAAGTGGTGCAGTGATAGCATAGAAAGAAAACAAATTAAATGAGATATTCTTACACTTCTCATGATCAGTGCTAAATATATTCTAAAACTAAAATATGGAAAGTAGATTATGAAGTAAAAGCTTGCATAACCTCAAAACTTGTGATTGAAGGCTTGGGTCAACCAGTTTTAAAATTGTTTTTGGTAAACACTCAGCTGGTTACAATATTTGAAATAGTCTCCTGCTCCATATATCAGCAATCCCTTGTGTCTGTGTGATTAACATAGACATTTATGAAGTTTCAGTAACTTAGATGTAAAAGTAGTCCACAGGGATCACTACAAGTTGTAGCTGTTTTATTAAAATGCTTTACTTCAATGAACAAGAAAAACATACAAAACACCAACAAATCCCTATAGGTGTCACCAAAGAGCATAAGAAGCAAGAGTCCATATAATAATGAACCAGTTTAGATCTACAGGTCCAATTATAATATCTTAAAATTTCAGTGTAGGTACATGGGATTTCCTCCTTATTTTATTGATGGGGCATGGTCCTATCCAATTGGGAATTTTCACATCATAACCAATCGTAATAGTAATGGTTGAAAAATGCTGTATTTGAATGTTGTGAAGCACATAATTATATTCATTTAAATTTTTCTTCAACATTACGTTTTGTATTGTAAAGTGATCTATAATTTTTGTCACTAACAGTTTCTGGAAATTAGATGGGTGGAAAGTTTCTGATTTTGGAATGGGGCTGAATTTAAGTCAGCTATGGTGTCAAGAGAAATTCCCAAAGTGTGTTGTTTTTAATTACTTGTATTATTCTTATTCATTACTAAAAGAAAATTAGTATCATACAATACTCATATGATACTAATACAGAGATCTTTTAATTAACTGGTTTGTTGGTTGTACTCAGAGAGAAAGTGTGATTGTTAAAATGCTTTGTATGTCTATATAGGTTTTTTTTCAAGATTTCGTGCCTAAACATTTAGTGTTTTAACATTTTTATATCAAACACCTAAGTTATAGCAGAAGTTCACCCATTAAGGAGATTTTGTACTGTAAAGTTGTCTGCTGAAAATCATGGAATGTTTAATGTGGTTTCTATTGTTGACATCTTTTTGAAATTTTGGGAGTTTACTAAAAGCCTAGTAAGTATTGTTATTCATTTCTTTTTTTCTCTATTAAAAGTTTTCTATACAAATTTGTTTTCCCTGTTTGTATATTTTTATTTTGTGGAAAGAGTTTGATAAGGTGTAATAACATACTTTTGAATCATAAATGTAAATCAGACCTTCAGATGATAAGTAGAACATGCCTTCTAGTTGATGTTTAGAATTTAAAAGCTATTTACAGATTATGGCAAAACCATGACATAAATTTTCTATACGAATATTACAAACAAAATTTACAAGATAGTTTTAGAATTCATAATTTTATATATATATATATATATATTAATTTTTTACCAGTAATGAATGTCTGGTACTGTAACCTTACTTAACAGTAGTAATACTAGTTAATCTTAATTTTAGTAATAGTTAATTTCTAGTAGTTAGTAACTAGTTT